ACTGCAGAAGAATAAGGAATAGGTGACATTTTCTCCTTTTCTTCTTTGGTAGTTGGACAAGATCGTTTACTTAGCTTGAAGTGATTTGCAAGAGGAGTGCTAACTGGCTTAGCATGTTTCATGTTGAACCTTTCAAGCAACCGTTCAACATACTTTTCCTGTGATAACCACAGCTTCCCAGCCTTTCTATCACGGGTAATAGCCATACCCAGAATTTGCTTTGCTGGTCCCAAGTCCTTCATGTCAAAGGACTTTGATAATTCCTCTTTTAACCTGCAAATTTTCTCAACATCTTGTCCCAAAATCAACATATCATCAACATATAACAAAAGGATAATGAAGTTGCCATTAGGGAATAATCTGATGTAGACACATGGATCTGCATTTGTTCTTTGGTAACCATGACTCATCATAAAAGAGTCAAACTTCTTATACCATTGTCTTGGAGCTTGCTTTAGTCCATACAAGCTCTTATTCAATTTGCAAACCATATGCTCCTTCCCGTGTTCTTCAAAACCTTCTGGCTGATCCATATAAATTTCCTCATGCAAGTCACCATGAAGAAATGCAGTTTTCACATCTAACTGCTCAAGCTCAAGATTCATGCTTGCTGCTAGACCAAGCACAACGCGAATCGAGCTCATCTTTACCACTGGGGAAAATATTTCATCAAAATCAATCCCCTTTTTCTGACTGAAGCCCTTTACCACCAGCCGAGCCTTATATCTGACTATCTTGTCACCATCTTTCTTGAGCTTGAACACCCATTTGTTCTTCAAGGTTTTTCTTCCTTTGGGAAGTTCCACAAGCTCATAAGTATTGTTCTTTTGTAGGGAGTTCATTTCTTCCTGCATAGCCTTCATCCAGCAGTTTTTATCTTTGTGAGACTGCACCTCCTGGAAGTTCTCCGGCTCCCCCTCTTCAGTGATCAAGATGTAATCAGAACTGGGGTATCTTGTAGATGGTTTGTGCTCTCTAGTGGACCTTCTCAATTGAGGTTCTTCCTCCTGTGGCAGGGGTTGCTCCCCCTGCTCATCATTTCCCCCCATCTATACTTGCTTCATCTTCTTCGATTGTTGGCTCCTCTGTCTCATCTTCTGGTGCTTGCACCTCTTCTTCATCTGTAATTTTTCTTGAAGGAGTTTTTGCCGGTGTTAGATCTTCTACACCCTCTCCAGAGCTTCTTGTAGCCTTTTCCTCCTTCAAATCATTAATTTTCTCGTGTTCATGAAACACGACATCTTTACTTCTGACAGTTTTCTTCTTTTTTGGGTCCCATAGTCTATAGCCAAACTCCTCATCACCATATCCAACAAAAATGCATGGAATGGCTTTATCATCCAGCTTTGATCTCTGTTCCTTCGGCACGTGCATAAATGCTTTGCACCCGAACACTCTTAAGTGAGAGTATCCAACGTCCTTTCCCGTCCAAGCTTTCTCCGAGATTTCAAAGTTCAAAGGAACTGAAGGCGACCGGTTGATCAGATACACTACTGTGTTGACTGCCTTACCCCAGAATGGCTTAGGTAGAGTTGCCATTCTTAGCATGCATCGAACTTTCTCCACAATGGTACGGTTCATCCGTTCTGCAACACCGTTGTGTTGTGGAGTGCCAGGAACTGTCTTCTCATGTCTCATGCCATGGTTGGAACAGTAGTCTCTGAATTCTTTGGAGGTGTACTCCCCTCCATTATCTGTACGGAGACATTTCAACTTCAACCCTGTCTCCCTTTCCACCATAGCATGGTAATGCTGGAAATACTTGAAAACTTGGCTTTTA